ACAAAACGGGGGGCACATCCGACTGATCCGACTAATGTATCAATCCGCTTCTCACCATCTCCTCTTCATTTGCTACCACCCGGTCTGCTGCTACCGGGTAACCCGGCGGAAGGCAGCCCAACACCACCTAAGTGCTCGCGCTTGCCACCTGCGCCCCTTTACGCAAACACAATGTCGCCCCCATTCCCACCCACATACGTGATATACCAGATCCCGGATCACCCCCACCTCGGTCGGTGCTATTCCTCGTTTGGCTGTTTTCGCGTCGTTCGGTAGTCGAAATGAATCCAACCCCTTTTGCTACCTTCGCGCCGCCTTCGCCCCCTTCGGCTTGCTGCCGTTACCTTTGCTACTGCTGCCGCTGCCGCTATTGTTGCCACTGCTGCTGCTGCCGCGACTACCTCGATTGCCGTCACAGCGGCTACTGCTGCTACTGATCTGCCGCTATTGTTGTCGGCGCCCTCAACCCTCCATCGACCGCCCAGGTTTACATGGATGTGACCATCAATGGGGAGCCAGCGGGCCGTTTCACCATCGAGCTGTTCAGTGACGTACCTGCCGGTGCATCACGCTTCGCCGAGTTGGCGGCTGGTCGGCAGGGAGTGGACTATCGCCTGTCGAAGTTTAATGGCATCCTGCCGGTGGGTGGGTGGTAGTGGCTGGTTGTGGCTGGTAGTGGGTGATTGCGACTGCGACCGCGGGCTGTGGTTTGCCAGAGGGAGATGACTCTTCGTGCCTCAGCCCATCATTGTCATCTCACACCATCACGCTATCACAGACCCGCGCTGTCATATACCTCCGTTCCTTATTCGCAGTACGACGTCCACCCTCCATTCCTCCCTCCTTCCACAGACGTATATTCGCAACGACGGTATCAGCCGCCTGTCGTACAGCGCCACGGAGGTATCGCCCATCTCCTCGGTTGACTCCTTGGAAGCCGTGGAGGTGAGGGAGGGGCGAGTGCCGGGGAGGCACAGGTGCTGGCAGTTGGGTGGGTGTATGGGTTGAGGGTCCATATGGTGGTGGTGGGGTGGGTGTGTAATGAACTTACACAACATTGTCCTGCTTAATAATGCGTCATTGCTGTCCAGTGCTGCTGCTGTCGAAGCTGCTCTTTGAAGCTACTGTTTGAAGCTGCTGTTTGAAGCTGTTGCTGATGGCATGTTGTCGGCGTTAATGCAAGCAGGCAGAGCTCCAGCAGCAAACACGGCGCCACACTCAGTCCGGTTTGGTATCCCTCATCGTGCGGGAGAAGGAGGCCAGGTGGGTGACAGACATACATATATACGTAACAAACCCTTTTTGGGGGAAAGGAAAAGATGATGTCCAGCGGTGACCCCGGGGCTGGCCATGTTTGAACGCCGGAACAGAGGGTCCCGCCATCATGGGAGAGGCGTGTCGGCTGGTCCCCGCTGGATCGTCCATTTACCAGTTACCTTAGGTTCACACCCCAACGGCCACCTATACCATTGGCATGTGCCTGTGTTCGTTGCATTACACATGGTTTCCTCTCCTCTCATTTCTTCGACGGGGTCTTGAGCGGCTGATAGTCGCTACTCGTCTCGCAGATCTCGGCAACACGGTTGGCCTCGATTGCGACTAGGACGTCTAGTGCGCGCATACAACCGGCTCCTGCCGTCATAAAACGCACTGAATCTTTTGGTGAGGCAGCTGGTTTCTCAAATTTCTCTGAGAGATAATTTTGAGTGTCTTACTCAGAGCGAGGAACATTTGCATAAGGCTTCGCGACCTGCCTGCAAGGCATCGATACAAAGTCCCTCACTTGACTCCGATCCCTCGCTCCCTGAGTCGGTTTCCATGAGTGCATGTTCACCACATGACATCCTCGCGTACCTTTGACGCCAGCTTCCCTGACTAACTTGAGCCATCTTCATGTCATAGTACTGAACTCGGTTATCCTCATCTCCCTTCCCTTCCTTCGCCTACCCCTGCCCCTCCCCGTGCTCCTATCCCTGCCCCTATCCCTGCCCCTACCCCTGCCCCTATCCCTGCCCCTAACCCTGCTCCTATCCCTGCCCCTCCCCCTGCCCCTATCCCTGCCCCTCCCCCTGCCCCTACCCCTGCCCCTACCCCTGCTCCTAACACCGTCCCCCCTCCCCTTCTCCTATCCCATCCCCGGGGCACTTAGGCCCGTCAAGGAACGCCTGGTGGCGCGTGACGGTAAACTGATTACTGTGCTGGTGGGTGCTGGCTGAAGGGGAGGGAAGGGGAAACACACAGCGCCGAATTAAAGCACACGGCGTACCGGGTTTAATCACACGGTGCCGGGGAAAAACACAGTGTCATCTCTCTGGGTCCTTCTGGAAGGGGACTTCACAGGTTCGAGTTCGCACGCAGGGCGACGAGCTGTGTCTGGGGGGAAGGTCATCCACTTCCTGAGGGATAACTGCGAAGGAAATGGGAAGGGCAAAGTGTGTCCTTTGCGGATGGACGCATCGATCCCAGGTAGCGGGTTGCCGGTATGGCGGGCCCCCGTACAGATTCGTGCTTTTGATCGACTGTTTGCTCCTTACCTTGTGTCTATCAAGTCATCGCACACATATCATTTCCTTTCCTTCCTTTCCTCGTTCCCCTACTTCCCCCGGGAGGCTGTAGAAACGCCGGAATGCATATGTTACTGCATTGACGGTATGATTGGCGAAAGCCTTTTCTTGGCTTTCGCGAAGTCGCAGCCTGTCTGAAAACCCTCCGCCCGCCCTCCCCTGCCTCCCTTCACCCGTATCCTCCCTCGCCGCCCTCAGGAACAGGCTGGCGAGGCGCCCAACGGCACGCAGTTTACCATCACCACGGCCCCCAGGTGGGACCGGTGGGGAGGCACATTGAGCTCTTAATGCCAGACACTCGACGAGGACCAAGTTGACTTGGTTTTGCCTCCCCAACTGAACGAAATGGCCCTTGGGTAGGGTGAAACGTGTACCACTGTTCGTCTCTAGTGCAGTGCATGGCCAGCTGGCCCGCTGGCTCTACTCTTCGTGAGTCTGTGAAACCTGCACCACGACGTTGGGTGGGGGATGGACTGCGATACCCAGGATGCAGGCCCCCAGGCTATCACCCCCAGCTAACCCAGGCTTATCACACAGGAAAACGTCTAAGGGACTTCATCTTAGCAAGGTGTAGAGAATGTGTGAAACACAGATCGACGCACAGGTACACACAGAGATACAAGCACGTGTTTGTTTTTTGTTTCGGTTGTAAGTTGCTGTGGCTGTGGCGCGTGGTGTTCTGTAATTCGTGAAGCTGTCTGGAGCCAACACGCCAGTCCGTAATCATAAACTTTTTGCTAGTTTTTATTGCTGGAATGTTGCGGCTGCGGCTAACGTTCCTATCACTGCGCATGCGCTGTTGCTGCTACTGCTACTGCTGCTGTTGCACCGTTTTCTTGTACTTCACAATGTTTTGCCATGCAGTCCCGAGCTCGACACTACGAACCTCATCATTGGCCGACTGGTTGATGGCGACAATCTGCTGAAGCGTATTGCGGCTTTGCCTGTGAACAAGCCACGAAACGACAACCCCTACTTCCAGGTGCGACACCTTCCCACCCCCTTTTACCGAAACGCCCCTACGACCCTGAATGCCACAAAATCTACAGCAGCTCACCCATACACCGGCATACTCATACATACAAAGAGGCGATGCAACTGCGCGCAACAGCATATCACGGGGCTGTTAAGGTGTGTCCCGATGGTGGGGATAATTGCTCTTGGACGCCGCGTGTGGTGATGTGTCTAACAGAGCGGTTTCCAGTTCAGCAGTAATTGAGGGGACAGGATCGGAAAGAAGAGCGTGTTTATGAGTTGAGGTGCCGTGCACATACAAGTAAAGCCGCCGCCAGGTATTTGCTGCACAGCGACCACAGGCACCCTTGCGTCCTCCATACTAGCCTTTGCACTTCAACATGACAGATGATTCAAGGACTTGTTTTGCCCCTAGCTTGCGCATAAATGCTGTCCCCACGCCAATATCCTCTGACTGTATCGTACATAGACACGGATTGATCCATGCTGGATGGTGGCGGTGAATGCTCTCGGCCTTGTCGGTCCGACTCCTGATGTGATTCTCAGTAGTCTGAGCACTTCATGAATCGCAATGCCGTTACGGCACTGTGGACCAAAATTGGTATCTTTGCCTGTTACTTGACGGTTGGCTGGCCCCTCGGGTTCTTTCCGGGGTTGCCCCCTGCAGGCGGGGAAAGCTATAGGTGATAAGCGAGCAGTGACTGCGGAGCGGGCTTTCTACCGGCCTTTCCAGAAAGTGGTGGTTGCCAACTGTACCCTGTCCTCATCCTGATTCGGCTCTTCTCCACTCACTGGGACTTCCAGGGCAATCGGATGCATCTTTCCATTTCTGTTCAAGCACTTACGTTTATGTGTAGCTGATGAGTTGATGGGGAGCTATACATATACTTAGGTCTTACTTTTAGTAAGACTGGACCATTTCCGGTTTGAGTTCAAATTTATGCGACTCCTGGACCTATTTCCTCGGATAGTTTTGCCCGCTGTTCGGCCGGCAAGACATTGCATAGGCTTAAAAAGCTTATCTTGTAAAAATATCTACAATTTCCTAAAACCCTGAATCTTTATTAGAGACCTTGCTCATTTGCGCTTTTATGCTGTAAAACATAATGGATTTTTAAACATTTTTTATTTTCAGGGAAGGGATCCAGTCGCGCAGGCGAAAAGAACAAAGAGTTCAAGAAGCCTGCAGCGATACCGGCATCTGCTCAGAATCATAGCACTGCTGCTTATCAATCATTACGTGGTCATATTTTTAATGCTCAAATTATCATCATGCTCATTTAAAGCAAACATTGGCCCCGTTTGGATCTACTTCGTGAGCGTCGCCAATTTTGACATTCCTGAGAGCCTGTGAATTGATTTGCGCTCTTTTGCGCCGCTCGTGAAGTTACTTGCAGCGGTACGAGTTTTGGCATCCACATTTGTTTGTTGTGGAATAGGAGCATCATTGTCGTTGTTGTCAACATGACGGTTTTATCGGTTATGCCACAACCGTCGGCGCCGGTTGGCAGCTGGTTGAAAAATATTGGGCACCGGGATGCTGTGCCCCTCATACCCGTTCGCAGCAATTTACTAGTTGGCGTCTCTCTGGGGCAACTGCTCAGCACTTCCCATAGATTATTGCGTATGCAGTTGTGCCGAAAAATGCAGCCGAGAGGAGCAGAGCGCTGTGAGCATGTGCGCGTCCCACACGTCAAACGCATGTGATGACCCGAGGCCATGAATACAACAGACTTGACATGCACAGTGTTTTTGGATAATGCTTGGTGTGGTTAGCAGCGGTGATCGTTCAGATTCTTGACTCAGAAGATTGTTGTATCAGCCGTACTGGCCAGCAACGTACGTTTCGGCCCCCACAACCACGATCCATTGTGACGCCGCTTATACCAGGAATTACGTCAGCAGCACCTGATGGACAAGTGCTGCAAAACGCGGGAAAATGACAGCTCGCAAGTGCATAGCTCTCTGAACAGAAAGTCTTTACTCGGACGCAAATCACAGCACTTGGTTGTGCTGCGTGTCTCGTTTCAAATGCAGCGCACTAAGCATTTGAAAGGTTGCTCGATTGAAAGCAAGAACCGCATAGGTGCTGTAAGCTTGATGGCCATCCAAGGCGCGACGACCCGCACATGTGCTGCCCACGACCACGCCATTTCCATTACACCCAAGGAAGCAAAATGAGCCAAGCCGGACTCCACGAACTCAAGGCAATGCAAACCGCCGTTGTGCGGCCCGATAGCGCATTTCAGATTACGGCACCCAGAGCTGTGCCAAGCACAGCTTGTAGCGGCATGGAAAAAGTCGTGGGATGCATGCAGCTTTTTGCGAAACGTGGCATTCAAGCCGGATGTGCACGCGTGTGTGCGCTAATGTCCGTAAAGAGTGTACGAGGGTACACAGACAAGACAACCACTAGCCGGAAGCAATCCTTACACGCCCAGCCTAAATGCCGAGAGATAAAACAAATTGCACCACGTCCCACGAAGCAGCAAGTTAGGGTTTCGACCTTTGCTATTGGCAACCCACACTTTGCATGTCCAGGATTACTCCAATCCAAGAGGAAACACTGGTAGGAAGGAGCCAGAAACAGCCCCTGTGCCCATCACATACGGCGCCCTCAGCAATAGAAGGGGTAACCCCAGGTCCCGGCCATGTCCTGTTCTCATTAAACTTGATTGAGCTGCTGCCATAGGCGCCGCGCCCGCAACGGAAGCACTGCAACTTGGCTTTTGCTACACCACCTGTCCCTGTCACATCCCTGGTAGTCAAACTCCGGGTGCAGTGCAGCGCCGGCACACCATAGATCCACGCAATATTACCCCGCATAACATGAACCCAAAAGTCCCGTTCCTCTATGCGACCGAGCATCCCAGAGGGGAATGCGGCACGGGCTCTGTAGCCCAACGCCTTTCCTGCATCAGATCGAAACCCAGCTGGACAGTACTCCCGCTCCGCGCGAGCAAGTCTTCCCACCTATAGAGCCCAATCATGCTCCTCACTTGAGCAGGTTTAGGGCCTCTACGTCTGTCGCTGAGCGCATGTGGAAGTACGCCACGCACAGCGCCAGCCCGATTGCCGTCTCGCAAGCGGCAATGGTGGTAATCGTAATCGACATAATAGCTCCGGTGATGTCGTTCAGATATGCCGCTGTGAAGAGGAAGTTCATGTTGCACGCCAACATGACGGTCTCAGCACTGAGCAAAAGGATAATGAGATTCCGCCTGAACGCCACGGCACCCACGATGCCTGCCCAGAACATCATATTGGTTGTGTACATAAAAGTAGTTCCAAATATCTCTCCTTCCGTGTAGTATGAGCGAACCGGTGCTGCGGTGCCCATGCCCGGCACCGGTACCAGTGGACGCCGTAGGCTGCTCAGCGCGCCCACACGTCTCCGGCCAGCCATAGTCAGGATAGGTGCAGCTGCAAAACTCCCAGCTGAGCTTCCGAGACCAACAGGCAATGGCCGGTTGACGAAATTTGCAAGCTGCAAAAGCGAGGAGCCCGGTGAAATAGAACTTCCAGCACGTTGCTCGTCATCATCCTTGCTGCTGATCGCTGTAAAGCTGCAGCTGTTGATGCCTGGGGCAATCAAGGCGAGGCATAAACCTAATTGAGCTAGACAAGCATAGTCATTACGCATTTGCAAAATGCATCAAATCAGATCATTTGGCTTACCCGATGGAAGTGCGCTTGTCGTCTTAGGAAGAAGGCTGGAGGTACCCGGAAATGGAAGCAGGCGCCTGAGAAGCTGCGTCCGCGCCATTTGCAACACGCCAGCAGCTAGGAGCAAGGACTGCACAGCTGCTAACGATATATACAATGTTAAGACAAAGGGCCTGTGCCACACGCAACATTCCTGAGGCAATACGGCAGGTACGGCAGTGTACTCGCTCTACACAGACTTGACACTAGCCAGCCTCCTAGGCACCTGTTGAAGTACTTTATGTAGTGCAGAGTTCTAAAAACCTGTTTAACCTCTGAATCCTTGCAGTTGTGCACAACTTGTCTTATGGCTTCGTGCAGAAAGGCTCAAATGATTTTGCTGCCCTATAATGTCATTTATGGTATCCGGGCTGGGAGTTTCCCTCCGTTTGGTCCCGTGTTTGCCTTTGCTTGCGCGTACGCTTACGCCACGATGGGCTACATACCGGTAGTGCTCTCCACGGCTCTTAGCCTTGATATACCGCATGGGTCAAGACCTTCCCTCTATTCAGCCCTAACTTTGCTTTTTATTTTAAGCGCTTTGCCAATCCCGCGTTTGACTGAGCTCTGGCAAGGGCGCGAAGTCCGCCGCCCATGTTGGTTACCTGTCACCGTTGACGCCATTCACGACCGCTCAGTGTTAACAAGGTTCCCTGCCTTTCCAAGGAACCACTTTCATTTCCTTGAAGTTCGCATTTGGACATCTAGATGAAGTAGTAAGGCATGCAAGTATTGCTCTGTGCTCAGTGGCAAAGCCTGTAGCAAGCCGTTATAGCACACACGTGTCTACGACTTACGTCGCTTCCAGACTCCAAACCTAGAATGTAGCTAGCTATGTATCTTGTGTCATAAATGCCCGTATTACGATTTTTCCGGTGTCCTGTCCATTTCGTCCATTTCCTGCATCTGCATCTCCTCAGCGCGTTCGTGATTACAATGGATTATTAAAGCGCGTGAGCACGCCAGGTGATGCCCTGTATGAAAGGGATAACAGACAAAAGGGATAACAGAACGTAGCGGACGTTCGGAAATCAGGGAAACCGGAAATGGCATGTCATGTCCCAACACGTTGATATGACTTAATTAACATCCAGGAGGTCGTTGCAAATGTTACACACGTTCACGGAAATATTCTTGTGGCAACGACCGTTATGAACAACCTTATAAAAGAACATTACATCACATGAGACGATATCAGAAATGTGAGTTAGGCTCCGAACAAATCAACACCCAAACGTTGCCGTAGAGGTTTTAATCGACTAAAACCCGCATTTGCATAAAACACAAGTATACAAACATACACGCAAAGCACCCTCTGGGATGGGAGCTTGCAGACAGCCATCCGAATGCGCAATGCAAGTCAATATCGAACTGCAACACAAATCACACATCGCCCACGTAAGTGAAAAACACAACACCGCGCATTCGCGGATTGAGAAAACTATCAAGAACGGCAAGTTTGATGCGCAAGGTATATTAACTCGCGCTCCGCAGCACAGTACAGCACAGCAGGACGCTTCACTACTAGAAGAAACTGCACACACGACCAAACTCAACCCCACTAGAGCATCATGAAACCGGCATTTTCGTGGGTTGAGATTGGCGCGTGGGTGAATTAAGGTGCCCTTAATGAAGTGTAATCCAAGAAGGCCCAACCACGGGACGAAGTAACAGGTAACGACCAACCGCCACCATCGTCACAGTTGTCGCTCTCATAACATCGCAACACTGCCTCCACAACCACCATGCAGCACCATCACGAATCATCGCCACCATTCCTAATCACCACAAATCATCGCCACCATCCCCAATCCACCGACTGAAACAAAACCCGCCTAAACGTTCTAGCCCTCCTGCCCGCTGGCGTTGTGAATGTCCCCTTTCCCGTATGCCGCTACATGAAATACGAGGTCAAACAAGCACAACAGACAACCACGCGGCCGACAGCTAGCTTCCTCGACCGGTAGCCACCGGCAGCCAAGAAGGATCACCAAAACACCTCCTCCATGATCCTCCACATGGTAACACGTCCCAAGCAAGTGTAGCTCAAGAAGCTGTCGTACAAGGCAAGCAGCAGTAGCATGAAATCTGTTATTGTCGGTTGGTTAGGTAGCTTCATGCAACTCTTGCTATTCCGGTAATAGACGTCTTGAATCCGTATCATATATTGAAACCTTATTATTTAGCTTATTTATCTCTTTATATGTCTGAATATGCCGTACACAGCCAGCACAGCCTAGCTCAGCCTGTCCTCACCGCCTGCTGTGCGTGACGTCGGTGACATGCGTGACGTCAAGTTAGGGAAAACCAATATGACAGCATATGCACATTGCACCGAGTCGTAGACACGCGTACTCGCGCATAATAAAGCGCCCCGCATCTACAGGGTCCATGCGTAGGAGTTGCACATGCACGTCCGGAGCTGAACCGGCAGCAGGCGGCTCCAACAGACAGACAGCCCCTTCAAGTAGATTCCTGTATGTCTTTCCTCTTTAGGCTTCGCCCTTACATATGCAATGCGCAGCATCCTCCCTTACAGATCTCCCGCCGTACAAACCTCCCTCAGGATGAAACGGACAGAAAGGGCCCAAGCTGCTCCAGGAAGGGCCAGTGAGACCTGCTGTGTGCCATGTGTGACCGGATGCGACGCCAAAAAAAACTTCCAATGCCTCTCCCATTTTCTAACCGACAGGGCTGCCAAACTGCCAAATTAAGAGCCCCTAACGGTCGTACTGCGTGATGCTACTGCGGCCGACATCATGACATGCCGACAAGCCGACGGCAAAGGCAGGCAAGAGGACACTGAGAAAATGAAGCAACCTCAAGTGCCTTGTTGAGGTCGTGGGCGGGTCGTGTGGGATTGGACCATCGATCGGCTCATACGCGAGAATGCCAGGGGCCCTGCATACTTAAGTTGTGCCACCATCCGGATTTCAAGCTGTCAAGTTTGGCGAGTTGAAGCCTACCACAACCTCATCCAGAAGCAACATCCAAGCCAAACCAAGTCAAGCAACGCGACAGACCTGCGTCACATTCAGCTGAAACCCGGGGAGAAACCCCTTCAACCCCCGGCAACCCACACACCGTGCCGCATATCCTATGATGGGAGATGTGTCTTACAGCGTAACGTGAGATGCACGTGTCTATGTGAACATATATATATATGTCATATATGCCACACGAGGACAAATGGCAGCGGGTAATTAATTTCAACCTCAGCTCCGTCCAAGCCTGCGGTTCAACCACAGGAAGGGACCCCTCCATCGAGGGGACACTACGGCACGTACAGCCAGCACGGCACTTGTACTCTTCACGCCGCCGCCGTACCTGCTGTACCGCTGCTATCGCCGCTGCCAAACTTGCCGTCGCCACCTCAACTGGGTGTCACAGCCCTCCTCAGACTGACAGAAAGACTTAGAGGAATTGTACATAATTTGTTCCGGAGTGCACGGAAACGCAAACAGCAACAGCATTTAGAAAAAAACACGAATAACGACGACAGGATTATTAAGCAGCCCCTCGCAGAAATGCGATGCTGCAAGGACAAGCGACCACAATACAGCGTTATTAATAGGAATAATGAACATGTCACCAGCAAAATAGCACCAAGACCGCTCCCGTTAGATTAGTTGGACAGGGGAAACAGGCCCTTAAATGGATGGCGGAGGACGTTGGAATTTTTTTTAAATTATGATGTTTTAGCGTATTTACCCTGGTTCGTGCTGTGTGGCGATGGGCGACGGGGCATGGCGCCCGTACGTGCTTTGTTTTCTAAGATGAATATGGAGGAGGGACGCAGCAATGCAAGGATGAATTCATCTATCTCAATGTACGATGTCGTGGATATAGTGTAACGGATGGATCAACGAAAGGGGTGTAAGCGTGCAAACATGGCGGAATTCTAGTAGGTGTTCCGGGATTATGCCGAACAACGGCCTCGCAACGGCCTCGCAACAGAAAAAACAACCCAGTAAACAGACAACCTGTTCTCCGCAGCCTCTCACCTCGGATGCTCCAAGGATGGATTTTTATTACGGCCCCGATTACTGCCAGCTCCATGTAACTACTAGTAAATCCAAATTCTCATCTCAGGTATAAAAATCTTCCTTCAGTACTTTATTGCCATGCACAACAAAGGAGTTTGCAGTACTTTGCGTGCATTGGTCATCCACAGAAAAAAAAGGGATCACCACTTTCACCCCCTCTCGGACCATTCTGTCCATCGCACCTCACCTCACCTCACCTCGCCTCACCTCACCGCAACTCGCTCTATTCTGCTTCCTCTCCGCTTTCTCTCCCTGCTGCGCAAGTCGCACGTGACTCCTCAACACAGACCCATCGTCCCCTTCGCAGGTTGCTAAAATGCACTCTCTCGCAACATGGCTGCAAAACTGCCACATTAATGGGGCGAGCCCTAGCTTGGCCACACTCGATACAGCTCGCCATGCTTAGGATGAAGACCCTCAATTAGAACACACCAAGGGGGACCCTTCCCACTGCTTTTTACTCGCTATCTCCTAATTAGGACCATGGGATCGTTATCTAACTGTCCACCTTGAAATGTGGCCAGCTAGGAACAACCTCACGGCTGCATCGCCCATCGTATAGCCGTTTCCCTTCCCTACGAGAACCGCGGCATAGGGGCGCCGAAAGTCCGCCGACATGGACTTCAGTACGGCCACCAGAGGGCTTGTGCCTGAGTTCCGCAATTCAGAGCCGCGGGTCGGTCAGGCTGCAGACGAGAAAAGCACTATGAAAACGGCAAAAGGCGTTCCGATCTCTGACGAACGCCGCAATGAAAGTAGTTCACGCTTTCCAGTACATAGTACATACAAGCGATAGTACAAATGAACAAAAAAACATCCATAAAAACGGCTTTTCCCTTGTCTTGCCTTCTTTTCGCATGCATAGACAAGACTTTTATTAGCGCACGCAGGCGCATGCGGATCTTCGCATGCGAGATCCGAGAGTACAATTAATGTCTCCTTGCCTTCGTTTCACCCTTTGCAGCAGAGGACGCCGGCATCTACACAACGCCTTACCACGTCATGGTTGCTATTGTGCACATTAAAGTCACGCAGACGGAGCTGATTGTTCATGTACTTGTTACCGCACGAAATGGATAGAGCGTCGCGGCTTATACGCTAATAAGCAGCCATTCTGGAGCATCGAGCAAAAAGGCTGATGGCTGGGTAACTAGCAAAGCAGGAATCCTTATTCAACTGCCGCCGGCGCCATCGCCGCCATACCGCCGCGACAGGCGGGTGCACACACGGAGGAAGACGAGGACGAGGAGCATTGCCAGGGAAACGCGCGGATTCGTAAAAACACTCATGCGTGCATCCACGCGCGGATTAACGCGGACTTGGGCGCGAAAACGGTTTTCGGTGAAACGGCAATTCGAAGGCTCGTCAGCGCCTGACATCGCGCCGGAGACCAATTACTAATGAAGTATCGCGGAATCACCTCCGCAGCCAATCACAGACGCAGCAGCAGCTAACCATGAAATGATAGCCCACACTGCTAGGATCAGCTCTGTGCTGGAATCACACAAAAACGTGTGCAGAATGCATCATTTTTTATTCTTTGGGATTCGATCTACTAGTTCTTCCAACTACTACGAGTATTTCTACAACTACATCATCATCCTCATCATCAATCATCATCATTCCCCGTAATATTATCAGAAGCTCTCAGAAAGTTCAGGCATCCTGCCTTGCCAGTCACAAGCCGCTTGCTTGCTGGGCACTGCACCAGGACTACACAGCCTAACGGGCTCTTAAAGATCTGTGTGAAGATCTGTGGTAACAAAAGCTAAGTCCCATGGGGAAACCTAGGTACCTCTCGATAGTTGCCTGACGGCTTAAACGCACTGCATCAGGACGACCGAGAGTCAGATGGATAATAACTTGCTCTCTTGCATCGTGTTCAGTGCTTTTCACTTACGCTGCGTGCTACGCGCTGTGGATCGCACAACGACCCACTTTGCTGGACATCTGCTGGCGCATTTTCTGCAGCGGAACCGCGGCTCAGCTGCCTCTCAAGAGGTCGGCGTTCCCTCCAGCAGCTGCTGAAGACAGATGACGACAGACGCAGCCACAGGGCGCCGCGCGGGGTCCCGGCACCAGCAAGCCTGAGCCAGCGCCCTGAAGCGACACACATTACAGACGTAACGGCGAAACGCCAGGCATAAAATGTGATGCATAAAATGTGATAAAACGACATGGCAGATGATGGAAAACAGAACCCGAAAAGGATAAAAGCATGGGCATAGCGGGGACTTTTTTGCGGAGCGGGAGATTAAGACCCAGACTGATGGTTGAAATGATATGGGTTTTATCAAGGCTGTAGGAAGGTACCGATCATCGGGTGTCAAGTCTCGTGATATGCCTAGGAAGACACCGCATTATCGTTGCTCCAGCTGGGGCCACTCTCAACGTACAAGGGCAGCCGCGGGGGCGTCATCGCGCACTCAGAAACCACACCAGATCCAATTCGAACCCAGATCAAGATTAGATAATCGGCCTCGACACCAATCGCTTAATCATGGCTACAGAAAGGTACCGATCGATGCATGATGTAGCCGATAATACGCCTAGTATACAACACCAGGGCAAAAGGGGATCGAGGCCGCACTCGAAACCCTAAGCAGAGGCAACTCTCCATCCAACAGATTTCCCATGAGCACATACGTATACACACACATACATATATACACACACATATATACACACACATATATATACACACGCAGAGCAGGAGCTCTTGCTCACCGGTAAGCTGGTGGACAATGCGAAGGGAACTTCGGCCGCACTCCCTCTATCACGCGAGCGGCCAGCCCCTGGAGCAGATTACGGGTGTACGGAATGCGAGGGAGAGGAGGGGCTGAGAACCTTATAAATGAACGGAAGAAGGAATAGCGACGACTTTAAACTGTTTGTGTCTACGTATATGTGTGTATGCGCGTGTTTGTTTGTTACAGGGGCTGCGGGTGTCCCAACCAAGAGACGAAGGTCCTCGACGGGCTGAGCAGGAGGGGAAAATGAATGTCGCAACGTAGTGCAATGTGGTAGTGTACATCGCCCTCCTCCACGGTGGCCTTGTGTGGCGGGAGGATGTGAAGGGGGGGAGGTGAGGTGTGTGTCCGAGGCAGGTGCCTAACGAGGCAACACCGGGGTCCAGCGGTCCCGGGCTCCAGGACCGAGAGCTCAACTGTTGGGAGGGAAAGAGCTGTCCTTGGGAGAGAGCACGAGCACGAGCACCGACGTGTCGTTGAGATGCTGGGAGGTACACCAACAAAAAGGGAACCAGTGTGGCTTCAGCGAGAGACTTCTTGTCTCCATCTTTCCGCAGAACTTCTTGTCGACAGCATGGTGTGTCCCAAAATATTAGATGAGATGAGGGGTAGGACAGAAATCGAAATCCTCTCGACCTTTTTCCGGTTTGTTCGATTCGGCTGCACGATTAGGGATTGGAGCAGGCAAGGGACCCAGACGCCGCGGCTGTGTCCCATTGGGGAACCTTTTGCACTACGAAACTGCACATACATACATACTTAAGACACCCGGACCTCGGGATGACGAGATCACGCCAGCATACTCAAAACGGGGAACAGGGTTGGAGTTGGGGTAGTTGATTTTGGTTTTGCCGTGCAACCTTGCAGTACTGTCACACTACTAATGATGCCGTACAACTCGTACCTCAAAGTTGGGTGCGAACTCCGCATAGGGTGGCTTGCGTGTGAAGACCTCCCACATCACGATGCCGAACGCGTAAATGTCCACTGACGCATCCAGCTTGCGATCTGGGGGGTTAGTAGTCCGGGGAAGGGGGGGTGAGGAAATGCATGGGACAGGGGAGTGTGTGTGTGTGTGTGTGTGCGGGGGGAGAACGGGAGGTGTTGCTGAGGGGAGAATGATGCCAGGGAAGCCATTACAACGAGTCAGTGGACCGCATCTGTATGCAAGGGGAAATAACTGAAGGACAGGGAGACCTGCCTTTAACAATACATATGTCCGTACATCCGTACCTGGTTCAAAGCACTCGGGTGCCAAATGGGTGACCTGTGGAGGCGTGTGTACGGCAGGCGGGCAGTGGGAGGCACGACACATCATGGACTCGTCCAGGTCGGCAACTACCTAACCACCAACTGCCTGACTAATGGACTGATGAGCAATGAAGAACACATACCACCAACCCACCAATCACCCCCCGAAACACACAACCCAACCAACCCCCCTTACCGTGCCCGCCGCATCTGCATTTCGCATCCACGGCCGGTGTCCACTCGAGCTCGGCCTCGTCGCCGCCGTGCTGCCTCCACTTCCACCACTTGCCGAGGCCCCCCCACCCGCCCTCCTGCCCTCCCTGCCGGCATCCCCCTCCGGCTCTTGCTGCTCGGCGTCCTGCTCCGCTCCGCCCTCCTCCTCCCTCTCCGTCCGCAGCAAGTTGACCAGCCCGAAGTCGGACAGCTTGCACGTGAAGCCCCGTGGGTCGCTGGAGGACGACTTGAGCAGTACGTTGC